AAGCGCTGGCATGTTCGGCACCGCCCAAGAAACCGAAACATGGCATCAGCATATCCTGCGGGCGCATGGCACTCAACTTCTGTCAGCAGGCATGCTTTGACTTCCATTGCCGCATGGAATCATTTCCTGGCCGGCACTGCGCCAACTGAACAAAAAGAGGCGTGGGACCTACATCGGGATCAAACCCGTCCCACACAGATCGGTCTAGGGACCACATGTTGGCTAGGGGGACCTACCATCTTAGACTTCAACGGGGCCATCACACACCAATCCAACCTTGGAAGCCTCCAACTAAGCTGAGGAATACTCCAAGCTTCAACCCAGGGAGAACTTGGAGAAACAACTACGTTTTGCTTTTCATGGCTAAGCAACCCCCAGGAATGAGCTTTGGCGCCTGTGACATAGGTACAACTTTCTTTGAGGACCCCCTCCCAAAGAGAAACAGTATTTGTAGGTTTCTAGCATCGACCGAAAAGCGAAGCGATGCCACGGCAGTGGGCTTGTCTTCTTTTGAGGGTACCTGTTTAATGGGAATCAACCACCTCCAAAAAAGCCGACCATCACAAAAAAGGGGACACCTCTCATGGTGGGGATATTTTCTTGGGAAGAAAAATGGGAAGCCAAAGGAGAACGAAAAAAACGAACCCATTTCTTGGGCACACCCCTTTTGGTGGGGATGTCTTGAATGGGAAGCCAAAGGATCGAGCACCCATTTCCTGGGCCCCTCCGTCACAAAGCGCTGGCTCCTGGTCCGCGCTGAGCACCGCCACGCGTCTCTCCAAGCGCTGGCCCCGCAGCGAGGCGAAGGAGGCGAAGGACGCCAGGGACGACAGCCTGGGCCGCCGAAACGCCGCCGACGGTTTGTTGGGTCGAAACGCCGACGGTTCAAAGCTTGGCGGCTGTTAAACCCTCTGCATGGGTTCAAAGGTTACAGGACATGGCCCCAAAACAAGAAAACCACATAGCGTTCGTTGGCCTGTCACGAGTGTTGCCATGGTCTGAATTCATGAACATGCTCATGTACAGGTTGCATCCCAGACACTCTTTACTGTTTGTTGTTCACGGGCTCGAAAGATCTCGAAAGGGTTAACTTAGAGGAGCATCTACAGGACACGGCCCCAAAACAAGAAACAAGTTTGTTTAGCTGTTTTCCTGTAAAGATTTCCTGCAACCCAACCCTTCGAATGGTCATGGATCTCTGAGGAATCGTTGTACTGGTTCTTCAGGATCCTTACAGTGGAATCCCCAAGCAAAGGAACCGGTCTTTGGACCAAGGCACACAGGTTGGGTCCCAGGTTGCACCCACCTCCGGTTCCTTTTTCGGTTGCTTGGGGGTCTATGGTGCGACCACCTGGGGGTCTGCGTATTTTACACTTGGGAGCGTCTTGTAAAAAAAAAAAGAAAGAGTACTGGAGCATGTGGGTGTTCAACCTACCTACATGTCATACCCAATGGTTAAAACTTCGAGCGGGGATGAGCCGAGATTGGTCTCTGATTTCTACTGGCAATACAACTCCTTTCGCCTGACCTTGCCAAACATGGCCGTGGGTCAAAACCGATGGTACCATTTTGGGGCAGGTGCGCCACCCATTTTAGTCCATTTTTTAGTGGGGATTGGGATGTTCACTGGGGGTACGGGATTTTGACCCATGGCCACATGGAAAATACCCAGCCAAATGCAAGCGATCATCAAGGCTGCCCCCCAACGTGGAATCATTCCCCAGAAATGGACGCTGGGCGAGGTTCTAAGAGAGCCCACCAGGAAAAAGTTCAAACATGCTTGTCGGGGGACGTCCACTTGCCAATGGTCATGACAAATGTTAGCGACCTCAACAAGGAGCGGGAATCAGCATGTTGCTGTTGGTCGCTGTGAACAAGAAAGAACTCAGTCTGGTGTTTTGTCGACATCTTGTGAAGTGAACTCCATCTGATTCATGTTGCTGACCAGCCAAACCGAATCGCCAAGAAGGGGAGTTTGTCATGCCCGGTGATCTAACCCGTGGTTTCTGTCACCACGTTGCAACCGCCCCACCCCTGACGACCTTGATTGGTGGTACTTGGTTGGTGGTTGGTTGGTGGTTGGTCGCACCGTCCTTTTCTGGCCGACGCCTGGGGTTCGAGGGGGCCACAGATTGGTTGTGCTTGAGATGCTTGGGTGGGTCCTTGAGTGCTTGCGACCACCCCTGGTATGAACATTGTGTTGAGCCTTGGTCCCTCAAACGGGACCAGCTGGCTACACATTTTGCTCAACCATGCTGTCTCTTCAAAAAGCAGCAAGCTTCAAAGCTTGACATTCCAACACTCTTAAGAAAGAGGCCTGGGGGTTTGACCATTTCCCTTGTCGGTTTGAACGTAACCTTTGGTTTCAACATACAACAAGGAAAAGGGGGTCAAACTGAAGGAATAGGGGGTCAAAACAAAAGCGGGCGGGGAGGTCAAGAAATGGGAGCCCTTCAACAAATATATAACTCTTGGGGGAAAAACACAATGACACCTAGGTCCGCCAGTAGAGAGGTTAGAATAAGGGTACCGTTTCTTTTTTCAGGACGTTTATTTTAGGTTGGACTCCTCCCAACCAAAAAAAGGGGAGAGAGGTCGGGCACCAATTGCTGGGGGACCCAATGACACCTTTCCACGGATCGCGAGACACCTTTCCGCTGGAGCTCTGGACGGTGGCTCCGCCATCGGAAAGACCCCTGGCGACAGAATTCAGAAAGCCAACCCGACACCCGAAACGGGAGGGGTCTCGGTCTGTTTCGGATTTCAGACGCGACTCCCGGGATCTAAGAATTCAGAAACCAGAGTCGACGGGCCAACTCAGCCAGAAAGGTCTGGCCCCACTTTGCAAATTGCACCCATGTGCATGATGGCTGACGTTCATGGAAGGCTGCTCAAGGATTGCAAGTAGACTTGCCTGAGGAAGGATAGACCACTGGAGATACGTTGGAAGGACAAAATCCTGGGATAAACCACGTACCGACTGCAGGATTTTGTGTATTCAGGGTCAGAGACTGGGCACGGTCTCCCAAAGCTGGTTCACTGAGGTGCCATGTGCGATGCTTGCGAGCACTTGTTCGGTCGGCTTCACACCCTCCACAGTTCCAAGCAACCAGCTACAGGAAGCTCTAGGTGTCTGGCCAAGTTCCTGTAGAAATTCCTACAGTTGGATTCTATGAATATTGATATCAACTAATGCCAAATGGCTATATTGATCCTTGGGTGAAGCTCTGTATCACCAAGCGACTAAAAATAAAGCAAAGAACCGGCTCCCCATTGAGTCTTGGTCAGAGAGGGGTTCAGAGAGGGCTTTCCCTTCTCTCCGCAACGTGCTAAGTTCCCTTGGTCCAAACCAGGAGGAACTGGGTACGTGCCAACAAGTCGGGAACCCCCAAAGTGGTTTGCTTCTACGAGAAGCAAAACAAAAAACTAAGTAAATGCTTGGTCGCCTTGAAGCCAACCTGAACAGGGCTTTCTGAAAATATATCCAACTTGAGAGACCTCTGGCACTGCGATCGATCCAACTGCCTCGGCCATAGGGCTCCGAGAGGAGAAAAGGGCGCTCTGCTCTGAACGCGGTTGGAGACGGGCACCCCCGCCCGACTTTTGGCTTGTTTTTTTGGGGGGGGGTTGGTTCGACTTTTGACTTTTGTAGGGGGGGCGGTTCGACTTTTGACTTGTTTTTAGGGGGGGGGTTGTGCCCGAAAGGGGAAGCTAGGCAAAGATGGCTAAATCGGTGGGCAGCAAAAGTGACCAACACGGTCTGGCTGAGACTTGTGAGGCTTGGGTTCCATAACCTCTGGATGAAGATCACATGCCAACTGGGATGTACAATCGCTACCAACACGTAGCAACTAGAATCAAAACCGAACAGCTATCTGCTAAACAAACACTGGCAACCTTCTGTGAGAATCTGGCCCAGGCGCTGTTTGGACAATGTTAAACGACATAAACGACTGACCCGGTTGCATGAAATAAGCAGCATGAACTGAGCCGAAAAGCTGCACGGGTCACATGTCAATGCCCGCGCTGCAATATTCAATGGCAGTGAGCGAGGGGTGGGGGGCAACTATCTGGGCAAATTCAGATCGTTGGTCGAACTCTTTGCTTCAGGATTGCTGGGTCGAATTCACCGTGAGGTCGGGTGACCTGGCTGTTAATTTACCCACTATGGGAACTTCTCCACGAAAGTTTGGAGTCACAGTTTCTCTAGGGATTGCGGCAGGCCAGCTCCATGCCTTTCCTTCAAAGTTGAGGCCTGAAGGCCTTGGTTTTGGGCCAACAGGGGGGGTGGACACAACAAACAAAAGCCACCATTGATGATGCGGAGAATCTCTTTTGCGGGCCACCTGTATGCGTTCAGGAGCATTTGGCTTGTTTCACCTGCAAATGAGCAAGCGATGAAGGCACATGTCACCATTGCAAGCGGCTAAGCAACCACTGCGCGCCGCAAATTAGACTTACCAAAACCCCCGATCGCCTTCCTGGAGAGGATCGGCGACACAGAGCATGATCTGCTGGGGCTATGAAGGGGGCCCAGATTCTCGAACTTGGCAAGATATGACAGTTCATTCCTTCACCAAACGCACAACCAAACTTCTTCTGGTCGCCATTTCCTCGGACCAAATCCGAAGCTGCGGCTCGGACCAGCGCATTTGTTACTCACCGCCGACCATCGCATGGATGAGATCCCGCAGAGTGACCGAGAAGGACACTAGGCCGCCGATTGCCTCAGCTCCGAAGGAGCCGGAAACCTCCAAGTTGTGCCCCCGAACAAGGGGAGTGGTACGGGGGTCAATGCCTTTGGTCCATTCACTTGCGACACCACAAACGCTCAAAGTACTGCGCCCCTGAAACCCAGCTCCAGAAGCGCGCTCTTGTAGGCTGGGGGGGGTGGGCCAGCTCCTGTTGCTCATTCCTGCGTGGGGCGCGCAGCTGCGTCCTGGTTGCTTGCAAGCGGTAGGGCACAGTCTCCGCAGAGGGTTCGCCGAGAGGGAGAGTTCTCAAAGGATGGGTGCGTCACAAGCGACGAGAAATAGCGCGTCACAAGCGAAAGCCTCACCCGGCAGCAACTCAAGGAAGCTGGAGGCCCAGTTCGCTGTATATACCTTGCCACAAGGAGGGATCCCATATCGATTTGTTTGATTGATCGTTCAGGGCGACGGGGTGCCAATTTCAGGTGGACAAGCCCAATGATACCCCAAAAAGCCAGAGATGGCTTTGTGCCAGCCAAAAGCCGTAGTAGGTTCACCTATGCCTCGAGGGCCTCTCACGACCTTGCTCCCCTGATTTCTGTATACTTGCTTGGGGTCTTGTCCTGCTAGGAAAGCAACTGTAGAACACCAATCATGTCAGCGACACGTTTGCAACCTACTGGTGCTATCCCCTTTTGAATTTCAGGAGTGACGTTCCAACTGCCATTCCAGAGTACTAAAACATGCCCCAAAAAAGGGGCACACGGAACAAGATATATGCTCAGATGCTGCTTCAATTTCTCGTCAACCCGAAAATCTACACTAGAAAGTAGATGGCAGAATTCCCGAGCGAGCAAACAGGATGAAACTTCCCCGGTGAGCAAACAGGATGTCAAAACCCATGGGGGGAACTGCGCCATCTCACCCAAAACCGCTCCCAGGAAGACGTCAAAGGAGGCCCAAGGTTCGATCTGAGACCCTGGCCCCGAAGGTGATGATAGACAAGTCCTTGAGGTCCCCGCCTGCGCGTCGGATGGTTTCGTTTTGGCTTCCTTGTGTTTTGTTTTTTTAGCTGGCTTGATAGGCAGGGAAGGAGGCAATGACCCCTAAAAACCATCCTTCCATGGCTTCCTTTAAAGGAAACCATAGGTTCATTCCCAAAACTTTGGGTCATTCCACTGAGCACCAGCCAGAAAAGGAACTGCCCGCATGGGCGATTCTCGAAGTAGGAATCGGTCCCCTAAAATGGCAACGGTTTCCTTTTTCTGTCCATTTCCTAAGGTCGAAAGGGTACTCGGTACGCTCAAGGTGACCGAAAGGGGAAACAGCAGTTTCGTCGTTCCCCAGAAACATCCGGTCCAATGAGTGTCAAACTGCCCACGGACTTTGGCTGCAGATCGGGGACGGGCCTGCAAAGGGTTGGGTTGCAGGAAAATCAGGACATGGCCCCAAAAAACCGCCTAAACCAGCCGTTTTCCTGTAGAATTTCCTGTAAAACCCTTTGAGGTTTACACCTTTCTCCATTCCCAGGCGCCATGGCGCATCGCAACGGCCGTTTCAGCCCCCTGCAAAGATCGCAGCCAGCCAAAGGAAGCTCGGCTAGGGCCCAAACTTGCTGATTCGATAGGCAGGGAATGAGGCAATGATCCCCCCATAAGCCATCCCCCTGCTGTCCTTTAAGGGAATCCCAACTAGGTTCATTCGGGTCATCCCTGAGCACCAGCCAGCAAACGGTGATCTTCTAGGTCCCCAAAAAAGGGGAGAGAAAGGGCACCTAGCTGGGAGACCTAGACTTGAAAGCCAAAGGAAAGTATAGGGACCCCGGTCTTTTCCGGCGCTTTGCTCTTCGCCAGGTCCAGCAAATCCCGGACTTCGCGCCTCACAGAAGTGGGCGGAAGCGTCTTGTTGCCTAACTTTTGTGTAATACCCTTTGCGTGGCCACATGGTTACACGCATGGAAGAAGAACACGCCCAACAGTAAGGTGGAGAACTCAACATCTTCACTGGACCCAAAATTGTGGTGCGGTTCCTGAATATTGCAGAGTGTCGGGAGAGTGGGCGCAGTAATTGGCTTGCCCCACTTGCCCCACTTGCCCCGCTTGCGCCACTTGCCCCACTTGCCCCACTTGCCCCACTTGCCCCACTTGCCCTGCTTGCCCCACTTGCCCCACTTGCCCCACTTGCCCTGCTTCAGCTGAATCGAATGGGGCGAGTGATGTGTGGGGGGGTAGAGTGGGTCATGTCGTGTGGGTCGAGTGGGTCGAGTGGGTCGAGTGGGTCGAGTGGGTCGAGTGGGTCCAGTGGGTCCAGTGGGTCGAGTGGGTCGAGTGGGTCGAGTGGCGAGTGGGGCGAGTGGGGCGAGTGGAGCGAGTTGTTCGGGTTTGGAAAGGTGACCTATAGTCGACGTTTCCCGTACCTCGATTTTTTACCACCCGCGCGACGAAGTAGCTAATTTGTCATCGCTCATTTCAGCTAGAATAATTGCCTTAAATTGATTGCTGGCACTGCTGGTGATGCAATCGTTAGATCGAGGTCATGGCCGCTCGACGCATTAGCTTGCTGGTAAAGCTAGTGATGCTGACGATGCTGGTGTTAGCATCTCAGCTAGACGCGCTAGATATTGGAGCTAGTTTTCCGATAGCCGGTTGCTAACGCTGAATGGAGTGGGGCAAGTGGGGCGAGTGGGGCGAGTGGGGCGCGTCGATTATCGTACCCCCTGTCCGGTCACAATGGAATATTGCAAGTTTCTTATCAAACACCATGGTGACAGTTGAGTATGAAATTCTATGACGGACCCTTTGGTGTGCATCATTTCGGTGGTGATTCATGTTCACCAACCACTTTTGAGGTGGTTCCACGAATAACAAATTCATCGCCGTGTTGAAAAGCGAATGGCAAAAAATTACCCCGGCACGAGACCCCAAACAGTGATAGGCGGTCACACGCTGCAGAGTATTGTGCGGGCAGCGCCGCAAAACGGCGGTTGTTGTCAGGAAGCTGCAACATCATTTTGCGGTATTTGCGCGCACATTCACAAAGACAAGGACACGGCCTGGAACAGACACGCGCAAGAGAATGCAGCAGACACGTGTCGAAGCCAGCGCCATGGTCGTGTGTGTGTGTGTGTCTGTGTGTCTGTGTGTCCGTGTGTCTGTGTGTCTGTGTGTCTGTGTGTCTGTGTGTCTGTGTGTCTGTGTGTCTGTGTGTCTGTGTGTCTGTGTGTCTGTCTGTGTCTCTGTGTCTCTGTGTCTCTGTGTCTCTGTGTCTCTGTGTCTCTGTGTCTCTGTGTCTCTGTGTCTCTGTGTCTCTGTGTCTCTGTGTCTCTGTGTCTCTGTGTCTCTGTGTCTCTGTGTCTCTGTGTCTCTGTGTCTCTGTGTCTCTGTGTCTCTGTGTCTCTGTGTCTCTGTGTCTCTGTGTCTCTGTGTCTCTGTGTCTCTGTGTCTCTGTGTCTCTGTGTCTCTGTGTCTCTGTGTCTCTGTGTCTCTGTGTCTCTGTGTCTCTGTGTCTCTGTGTCTCTGTGTCTCTGTGTCTCTGTGTCTCTGTCTCTCTGTCTCTCTGTCTCTCTGTCTCTCTGTCTCTCTGTCTCTCTCTGTGTCTCTGTGTCTCTGTGTCTCTCTGTCTCTCTGTCTCTCTGTCTCTGTGTCTCTGTGTGTCTGTGTCTGTGTCTGTGTGTGCGTGCGTGTTAGTGTGTTTTCATGTTGATTGCGAAACGTGTGTGGGAGTAGAGACACATGCAGCACCAAGAACAAAAAAGGCGCACAGGCATGGCCAGCAGGCATGCTCGTTTTTTCTTCCATGAGCAGCACATATCGGTGAGACGGCAGAATCGCAGGACAGGGCTGCTGGGATGGATTCGTTGCACTGCGCGCAGCCGCAGCAGGCCAGTCTGTTGGTAGATGCAAAGGCGCTGCGGTCAAGGCGTGGTAGCTTGTTGCTGCAAACAGCCGACGCGGCGCACGCAGAGTGCTAGTGGCAAGCTCTCGCAGCACAGAAGCGTTATCAAGGCAGGCCCAAAGACTGGGCTGTCTGGCTCGGACCCTTCCACAGCAGGCGTGTACATAAAGCGCGCGCTCCCAGATCGCAGGGCACACAAGAAGGCGTCAAACTCATTTGGCGCCATGTTATCGAGGCAGTTCATGCGGTGCAGCGCTGCGAGGGGCGGCAGGCCGCGAAGGCGCGGATGTTGGTCGATCCACTGTTGCATGGCAGCTTCGTCTGCACAGCGGAAAGAGTTGTCAAAGAAAGTCGGCAGGCGGATTTGTGCATGGATCCACTCGCGCGGACAGGGCGGGAATCGAGCCCGGGACAACCCGTGCCGCCGGACCACAAGACCCCCACGGTCCCGGAGCCGCCACAAAAGCAACAAAATCGAGTTTGTGCGAGCCTGCGCAGCCGAAACGCACTTGTACATCAAGCAAAAGCAGGAATCTGCGGTACATACCACGCGAAACGCTAGCGGACAGAAGTCGACACCTCACTTTGTGCGAGCCTGCGCAGTCGAAACGCATTTCAACATCAAGCAAAAGCACGAATCTGCGGTACATACCACGCAAAACGCTCGCGGACAGAAGTCGCCAACTCACTTTGTGCGAGCCTGCGCAGTCGAAACGCACTTCGACATCAAGCAAGAGCACGAATCTGCGGTAATGTTGGCACTTGATTAATAAAGGGCCCCCCCCCCCCCTGAACAATGGAGGCGCCAAAATAATGGGGGTGCACTTTTGGGACGTCCAAACAATGGAGGGTTTTGGGGCCCAATTCTACTTTAGTATTGCAGCCACTTCCTTTTTGCAGTTCTACTTTAGTATTGCAGCCACTTCCTTTTTGCAATTCTACTTTAGTATTGCAGCCACTTCCTTTAGTATTGCAGCCACTTCCTTTAGTATTGCAACCACTTCTTTTTTGCAATTCTACTTTAGTATTGCAGCCACTTCCTTTTTGCAATTCTACTTTAGTATTGCAACCACTTCTTGTCAACTGGGGGTTTGGCTTTGGGTTCTGTGGTTGAGCAACCAATTGAAAGGGGAATGCTTTTAAGCAAGTGGGCCACCAATTGAAAGGGGATGCTTTTAAGCAAGTGGGCCACCAATTGAAAGGGGAATGCTTTTGAGCAAAGCAAGTGATAGTTTATTTTCTGGGAGGGGGGGCTGGGGGCTTGCCACTATTGTGGTCCCCTAAAACAATCACATTATTGTGGTTCTGTGGGGTCTGTGAGGGGTACCCTTGTCCTGATTGTTTTTTGGCAATTTTTTAGCACGGTTTAATAAAGAGTTTGCAGTTTCAGGGCTGGGGATGGTTTTCAAATTTCAGAGTTTCAGCTGGCTTTGGGTTCTGTGGTTGAGCAACCAATTGAAAGGGGAATGCTTTTAAGCAAGTGGGCCACCAATTGAAAGGGGATGCTTTTAAGCAAGTGGGCCACCAATTGAAAGGGGAATGCTTTTGAGCAAAGCAACTGATAGTTTATTTTCTGGGAGGGGGGGCTGGGGGCTTGCCACTATTGTGGTCCCCTAAAACAATCACATTATTGTGGTTCAGTGGGGTCTGTGAGGGGTACCCTTGTCCTGATTGTTTTTTGGCAATTTTTTAGCACGGTTTAATAAAGAGTTTGCAGTTTCAGGGCTGGGGATGGTTTTCAAATTTCAGAGTTTCAGCTGGCTTTGGGTTCTGTGGTTGAGCAACCAAATGAAAGGGGAATGCTTTTAAGCAAGTGGGCCACCAATTGAAAGGGGAATGCTTTTGAGCAAAGCAACTGATAGTTTATTTTCTGGGAGGGGGGGCTGGGGGCTTGCCATTATTGTGGTACCCTAAAACAATCACATTATTGTGGTTCTGTGGGGTCTGTGAGGGGTACCCTTGTCCTGATTGTTTTTGGCAATTTTTTAGCACGGTTTAATAAAGAGTTTGCAGTTTCAGGGCTGGGGATGGTTTTCAAATTTCTGAGTTTCAGCTGGCTGGATTTTGGGGTCAACATGGATTTTGGGTGATTGTTGGGGGGGATGTTTTTGTTTTTTTTAACATAAAT